AATATTTGAAAATTGAAATAAAAAGACAATTTATAGTTCCCTCCAAAGTGAAATTCTTAGTAATAAGTTTAACAAAACATGTATAATATCTACATGCTGAAAATTACAGCCCAAACAACTCAAACCTCATTGTCATTGAGTTGATTTCAACTCATAGAACTTTGTAGGATAGAGTTGAACTGTCCCTTTGGGTTTTCAAGGCTGTTAATCTTTATAGGAATAAAAAAAGCCTCATCTTCATTTCCTGCAGCAACTGGTGGATTCAACTGCAGGCCTGCTACCAGGGCTCCTGAAAATTATAACACACTGATAAAATAAAACAATATTTAAATAAATAAAGTGACAAACTGTGCCCATGGATTGGAAGACTCAACATAGTAAACATGTCTGTTCTCCCCAAATTGATCTATTGGTTTAGTGCAATTTCTATCCAAATTCCAGCAAGATTTTTAATATAGATAAATTTATTGTGAAATTTAAAGTGTTGAAAAATAAGGATGTTACTTTGAGGATTAAGGTGTGCCTGGCCGAAGCCTTGGTGATTGCAGTTGTCTCATGTGCATTGTGAAAGTTGGACATTGAATAAAGAAGACTGAAGAAGGATTGATGGATTTGGACTGTGGTGCTGGTAAAGAACTTTGAAATATCATGCAGTACCAAAAAACAAAAAAAACAAAAAACAAACAAATCTCTCTTGGAAGAAGTACAGCCAGGACGCAACTTAGAGACCAGGGTTGGCAAGACTTTATTTTATATACTTAGGACATTTTATCAGGAGAGATCGGTTCCTGAAAAAAGAAAGCAGGCTTGGTAAAGTAGAGGGACAGTGAGAAAGAGGAAGACCCTGGACAAGATGGATTGACACAGTGGCTGCAACCGTGGGTTCACACATCAGAACGATTGTGAGGATGGCACACCACCAGGGGGTGTTCCTCCAGTGGTACATAGAGTTCCTCAGTTGGAACCAACTTGATGGCACCTAGCAACAACATTCTGAAATTAATGTGGAAAAAGAACCAAAATAGCTGTAAGAATTTTTAAAAATGACTAATACAATGGGAGGAATTACTCTACCCAATTTTAAGATATACTTGACAACTACAGTAATCAAGATGATGTAATATCAGTATCACATCAATAGAACAAAGTAGAAACCCCAGAACTAGATCCATACCTACACCCAACTGATTTTTTGACAGAGATGCAGATGCAATTCAGTAAAAAGAGTCTTTTCAGCATGTGGTAGACATCCACAGGCAATTACGTAAATAAATTAACCTTACCATATTAAAAACTTAATTCAAAATCAAGAATAGATTTTAATGTAAAATGTGAAACTTAAAACGTATCTTTGGAAACTAAGATTAGACGGAAGTTCTTAAGACATGACACCCAATGCACAGCCCATAAAAGGAAATGTTGAGAAGTTGACTTCATCAAAATGAAAAACTCCTGCCCTGTGAAAGGTTCTGTTAAGAGGTGAGAAGATGAGAAAATACTTGCAAATTACATAGTAGCAGTCTTAGCTATGCATGATAGTATAAGGCCATAAAAATAGCCGGGCAACCTGAACTGCATAGATTTTAATCAATGGAGAAATAATATGATTGTTCACAACCTTAAAATTTTTTCATCCAAGCATTAAAACAGCTATTGTGGCAATCATAAATGTATTGGGAAATGATAAATAATAATACTAATATTATTTAATGTGCTTAAAATTTAGGAACATGGAGAATTTTTTTTATTCCTTTGTAAAAAGCTTACCAAGAGTCAGAAGACAGGGAAGGCTGGGGTAGGCATGGAATCAAGAAAAATGGAAATCATGAGAATGCTGACACTGGAAAATTCACCAGTGTCACTAACCAGTATGTGTAGAAATGGGAACCAAATTTGCTGTGCAAACTTTTACCAAAAACTCAATAAAATATGTTTAAAAGCAACTAACCAATAAGTTTGAACAGGGGTTGTCTTCCATGCTATAAAGCAAGCGTCCTTGCTGTGTCTTGGTGAATTATCATACTCCTTTCTTAGGATAGATCAGCTTCCAACATTTTATCCTGTATGCTACCATTGTTGTGAAATGTTTGTGAGAATTCCCTCAATGTGAAGTCATTTGCTGATGTCACTTGTTCTTGTTGGTCACTTTTCTATTTCATTAAGTAGGTCTTTGTCAAATTCCTCTAGCTGCATATCTGGAGTATATAGAGTAGAAGCAAATTAACCTTCTCCCAATTATTTCTTCAATAACTCCAGTTATGTTCAAGTGTAATTTCATTCTAGAGTTACCACTTTTGGTTCTCTACTTCCATCTTTGTTAATCAATTGTCTCTTTCCATTATGCATTTTTATAAAGTGTTATATAAGCTTATCATTGGAAAATGATCAGGTAACACAACCACACACTTTGCATTTGTTTGTGAACTAAATGACAGATACACAGTAACCAATCAGTGATAGACTTTGGAAGAAGTGATGAGATTGGTTACCTCATTATGGACATTTTTAATTTATATAGTGATTGTGGGCTGAAGAGCTAGCAGCAGTCACTCATGGTTAATATACTGTGTGAACAGACACTTGAGTCATGTTGGGGAATTGGGATTATTTATACCATGATATTTGAAATGGGTAGGTATTGGAATCACACAAAGCAAGGAGTGCCTGAGTTTGACAAAGGACTTGTATCTAGAATATACTAAGAATTTGCACCCAACAGCCCAAGAGAATATGTGGATGGCAAATAGCACTCATGCTGGCCCTTAGGGAAATGTGAATTACATCTACGACTAGAATTCAGTCTTCTTGCACATGTATTAGAATGGCTAAAATGAAAAATGAAACTAATGGTAAATACTGGTGAGGATGTGGAGAAACTGGATTTTTCATACATTGCTGGTGGGAATTAGAAAAAAGTACAGCTACTCTGAAACATAGTTTGACACTTCCTTATAAAAGTAAACATAAGCTTATCATATGACCCAGCAGTTGCAGCCATGGGCATTTATCTCAGAGAGATAATTACTTAATGCTCATGAATAATCTGTACATAAATGTTGCTAGCAACTTTAGTCATAGTAGCCACAATCTGAAAACAACTCAGATGTTCTTCAGTAGGCGAATGGTTAAGCTAGTACTGTGCAGTAGCTTGGATAGATCTCAATGAAGGAAAGCCAATCTCAAAAGGTTACATACTGTAGGAGTCTGTTTATATAACATTCCTTAAATGCTGGAATTACAGAAATGGAGAACAAAATAGTAGTTGCCGTGACACAGGTATGGTAGATGGCTTGAGAGGATGATGCATATCTCAAAGAGAAGCCCAGTAAAGTTCTTCCGTGGTGATGGAGGAAAACAGTAGCTTGACAGTTGGTTACATTAAACTATATATTGGATACAGTGATATTGAACTACATGCACACACTGTGTGTGTGAGAGATGGTGGGGTGGGGGAGAGAAAACTGGTGAAATCTGAATGAGTAAGGCTTGTGGTCCAGTTGATAGTATTGTTCCTTTGTCAGTTTTTTTTTGTTTGATATTGTACTGTCATTATGTAGGATGCCACAGTGAGGGAAAGCTGAATGAAGGGTATGTGTCACCTTATTTTTATAACTTTCTGTAAGTATTTCAGAATGAAAAGATATAACGAAGGTCTTTTCTGTGAGGGCCAGGCACATGCTGCTGTTGTAAGGCATAGGTGCTGAATTTCTTTCCCTGCTCACTTTCATGTTATTGCAAACCTGGAATAACCAGGCTGTTACTCAGCCTTTCCAGGCCTCTTTGCCCAGCCTTGATCGACTATCCAGGGTCCACTAGCTGGGTACAGAGAGAACCTTCCACTGTTGCTTTTGCACAAAGAAGCAGGATGTGGCACCCCATAGAAGTGGTTGCTCTGCCAGGAGCTTATCTTTTTAAAGATAGGCTGATTCATTTCTCTGGTTGATGTTTCTATGGAGTGCTTGGAACTAGGCAGAGAAACTCATAGGTAATAGATGAGCAATTTGGAGCTGACAGCTGCTCATCATCCTGCTTTTTATAAATATCCGTGCCTTTTAATTTTTCTTGGAAGGTAGAGACAGAAACCGCTGTAACCTTCCTGGCTCTCTTTTGTAAGCACCAGCCTGTGAAACTGGAAAGAAAACTGTGTATCACGTGTATAAAATATCCAATTAAAGCTCTTTATTCAATTTCAACATAATTTCATTTAACAATCTTTGTATATGTATGGGGTGGGGAGGGGTTGAGGGAAAAATGTTGAGATTTGAATATAGTACATACAGTAATTTAGCCATTTCAAACAGTTGAACAAATTGTACACCTGTGGTTAGATTGACAGTAATGATTTAATTTTCATGAGAAAATTGTTCCTGCGCTGACAGTTCTTTCCCTAGTTTCCTCTGTCCAGGTTTCTCTAAAATGTGGCTAGGGGGCCAGGGCAAGGTCCAGCTATTCTGAGTGTGGACACTAGAGACCCTGGTGGTGTCGTGGTCCCATGGTAAACGCACTGTCAGCAGCTTTGAAACCACCAGCTGCTCTGTGGGAGAAAGAGGAGGCTTCCTACTCCCATGAAGAGTTACGGTCTCGGAAACTCCTGGGGGCAGTTCTACCCTGCCTACAGGGTCTCCGTGAGGAGGAATCGACTCAGTGGCAGTGAGTTTGATTTTGGTTTCAGACCTCAGCTGCCCCCTCTGAGGCAGGAGGCCCAAGACGAGCTTCCATTACTTCCCCTGACCACAGTGATTACAAGAAGACGTTCTCAGTGTTGGAGGTAAAGCTAGACTCAGTAGGCCTGGGAAGCTGGTGAGTGTGGTTTGGAGTAGAGAGCTATGTGGCTGGGCTCTGAGGTTGGCTCCTGGGGCATCTTAGAAGGCACGTTGAAAGGCCATGAGCCCTGGAGCAGCAGTCCTTTGTTGGGAAGGGCAGCTCTGGTATACCACAGAGGTCTTGAAGTAGAAGTCTCCGGTCAGTTTGGTTAACCATCTTTTTTGCCGTTTCTTTAGGCAAGGCAGGCAGAGGTAAAGCGCCTCTTCCGCCCCATTGAGGAACTGAAGAAGGACTTTGCTGAGCTGAATGTTGTCATTGAGACTGACATGCAAATCATGGTACGGCTGATCAACAAATTCAATAGTTCCAGCTCCAGTCTGGAAGAAAAGATTGCCGCACTCTTTGATCTGGAATATTATGTCCATCAGGTATTGTCCTTTGTCCATGACTCTGACTTTTAATCAGCAACTACAAAAATAGATCTGTCTGCCCTAAACCCTAAGAAAATGACATTAGCATCTCCCCCCATACCCCTGTCCCCTCAGGGCATAGCTTATTACTAATCTAGGTGACTGTCTGCTTTTAGTGAGGTATATTCTTAGAAGCCAGCCTCCCTTTCATTTGAAGCTTTACCTCTTTCATTGTTTGACACTGCAGCTTCAACAGAGATAAAACATACATGTCCCTGTGCTGTGGAACATATTATGAAAACGGAGCAGCCAAATGGACAATTAAGTAATGAGGTACTAAAAGATGGTGATAAGAACTTCAAAGGTGATATGGGAGTATACAAGGGGAACAGCCTCATCAAGGCATTATGGAAAGTTTCTCTGAGAATGTGACACTTCAACTGAGCATTAAAGGATGAGGAAGGGTTGGAGCCCTGGTGGTTTAGTGGTTACTCATTGGGCTGTGAACTGTGAGGTCCACGGTTTGAAACCACCAGTCACTTTGTGGGAGAAAGATGGGCTTTTTACTTCTGGAAACAGCTGACAGTCTTTGAAACTCAACAGGAGTAGTTCCACACTGTCCTATAGGGTCACTAGGAGTTGCATTGACTCCGTGGCGGTGAGAGTGTGAGGGTTGGCTGGGCAAAGAGGATGCGGTTTACTTTTTTAGTGCTGCTATAGCATAACCACAGTGGGTGACTTTAATGAACAGAAGTTGATTTTCTCAGAGCTTCTTGTGTGCTGGTGAGTTGATTCTGACATGTAGGAATTTATAGGTCAGAGCAAAACTGCCCCACAGGATTTCCTAGGCTGTAATGTTTTTAGGAGCAGGATGCCAGGTCTTTTTGCCTGTGGAGTGGCTGGTGAGTTTGAGCCACCAATCTTTAATGCAGCAGCTGAGTGTTTAACCCTTGTGTCACCAGGTCTCCATTCTCACAGTTGGGGAGGCCAAAAGTCTATATTCAGGACACTGGTTCTAGGGGAAGGCTTTCTTTCTGTGTTAGTACTGGAGGGAGATCCTTGCTTTTTTTCCTGGCTCCTATTTTTCAATTTTTTTGGTGATCTTCTGGGCCTAATCTTTAATTTCTCAAGATCTCTAAAGTCATTGGTTTCAGACCCAACCTACACTGCTGTGGATTTATTAACATGACAAAGAATTCCCTATTCCCAAGCAGGATTATATCCACAGATACAGAGGTTAGGATGCATAGCATATATATGTGGGGGTATACAATTCAATCCTTAACAATGAATTACAGCAGGGTTCAGTAGACTAACTGTGGGCTAATTCTAGCCTGCTGCCAGCTTTTGTAAATAAAGTTTTATTGGAACATAGCCACAACCACTTGTCTACATATTATCTGTGGCTATTTTCATGCTACAAGGGCAAGCTTGAATAGTTGTGAAAGAAACCTCATGGCTCACAAAGGCACGCATATTTAATATCAGGCTTCTGGTAAAAAAAGTTTGCTAGCCTTTGGGTTAAAGCAGCTCAGGAAGAGGAGACAGCATATACCTGATTCTTAGGCAGTGACTAACCTTGATTGAGGACCTGAAAAAAAGTTGTAATGACTGGATCAGAGACCAGAAGGTGGGGATAGCATGGATACAGAGGAGAAGTTAGGGAGTCAGGTGTTTTGGAGATCACGCTGTTGATTAAGAACCATTGAAAAATCTAAAGCAGAAAGTGATTGATCAGACTTGTATTATAATTATAAAGATTTATGGAGTATATTACATGTCAGGCTCTGATTCTAGGGCTTTGTTTACATTAACTCTTGGACTTCCCACAGCTGCTTGTGAGTGATACTCTCAACCCCATCTTATAGTTGAGGGAATTGAGGAACTGTGGGGTTATGCAACTGCCCAAGGTCACTGAGGCTAGTGAGTGGGGTAGAGCTAGGCTTTACAACAAGATCTGTCTAACCCAAAACCCTGTGCTCATAACTGGGTGGCCTCTCACAGGAACCTGATGCCTTTTGATTGAAGTTCAGAAGGGTATAGGTGGAGCTAAAGCGAAGGGGCCAAGAGAATTCATTCACTTATTTAATAAATCAATTTATTGAGTGTTTGATCCCTGGCATTATTCCAGGCACTTGAGACATATCTATGAATAAAATTAAGCAGACAGACAATAATCCTAACAAGTAAATGATAATGTGTTTAAAGGTGATAAGTACTATGGAAAAAGATAAACAGGGTAAGGATCGTGAGTGTTGGGAAGGAGCACTTCAGGAAGGAACAACAGCCAAGTCAAAAGCACTGAGGTGGGGAGTATATCTACTCAGGTGTGCAAAGAACTGCAGGGAGCTCAGTGTGGTTAGAACTGAGGAGGAGGGAGGAAAAGTAGATAAAGCTCAGAGATAATGGGAGGGAAATCTTGGGGGACTGTGAAGACCATGGGGGAAAAAGAAATTGGATAAAGGTGGATAATATGGAGGAACAGAATGACTTAATCTGACTTGCTTATAAAGGATCTCTCCAGCTCCTTTGTTGAGAAGTAGTATGGAGACCAGATAGGAGTCCCTTGCAGTCATTTAGACTAGGGATGATGGTGGCCCAGGAAGGCCATACAATCCTGATCAGAGGCTTGTTTGAGATCCTCATCAGTGCCCTCCCATGCATGGCAGCATCCTTTTCCTCTCAAAACTAGGCTAAAAGATAGCCTCTCTGTCTGCTCTTGCCAGCTTTTGTTGTGAGCGGGGCTGAGTATATACTACAGCCACAGGAATTATGGAGCCGCCTCTTCCTCTGCCCTCCTTGCTCATAACTCTCGCGCATGCCTTCAATAGGAGGACTGTGATCCTGCTGAGGAAAAAATAGACCTGGGTTCCCATTCTTGTTCTCGTTCTTTCTAATCTTTCTCCCCAGGGTAAAAAAAAGGAAGCTCCAACAGCATTTCCATTCTAGATATTTTAAGGATTAAGGATCCTAGGTGTTCTTGGCCAACTTAGTCCTGCTCTGATGTTGACAGCTGGTGGTTGTTTGTCCACCCCCCCACATCTTAATATACTTGAGGTGGATATTGAAGTGTCTGGTTCTATAGGCTCTTGGCTTTAGTTGCACCATGAAAGGCCAAGGCCAAGGTGACTGGAGAACTTATCATACCTGGAAGGAAGAGAGGGCACAGGAGTCTTGAGCTAGCAGTGCTTCTGTGAACCCCACCCCCACCCTTCAGTCTTCTGGCAGTGTCATCCCTAGAGTGACATTCCATTCTGCTTTCATGGGTCACTGGAAAACTATTTTGTTGTACAGCCAGAGACCAGCCCAGGAACCAGTCCCCTAGTTGAAATCAAGGTTGCACTTCTTGGTAGAAGAATCATACATATTCTGGGTCACTGGGCTTTTGCTTGGAAATGTAAGACCTTTGGTTTAGGTCGGTCCCTCAGGTTGCCATTTTCTACACTGCTAAGTTGGCATTTCACAGGAGGATTGAAGATAGATCTTGACCTTGAGTTCCAGTTATAATGGGGAGTTGGGGCTACATAGTGCTTGCTTTGAATAACAGGACTGTTCAAGCCAGGAGATTCACTAGTCTATTCCCATTTAGACTCACTGAATGGAAGGTTTAAAGAGCCCGGGGCTTCAAGGACCTGAACTGGGTCTGCCCGCGGATTCCTTATAGTCACATGTGAATTATTAAACAGACTTTGTGAAAAGCCAAACCTTGTATGTGGGAAACAGTTTGTGAGTTATTTATGAGGAGCAGCTTCTGTCTGCCCTATCCACCCTGGGGTAGTGTATTTGTTTTCCCTCTTGTGACTCCTCAATTATTAACCACGGTTTCTCCCTTTCTCTGTTTCCTGTTCTCTCGCTGCCTTGTCGGTGCTCTGGTTCCCTCTTTTCCTCCTGAGTATTGGCACAGTTCTCCTTCTGTCTGCTTCCTAATGTGCTCCCTCCCTCTGCCTTGAGCCCCCCTCTGCATGTCCTGACCCATCCGAAAGGCAGCCTGGGAAGAGTTCCTGCTCCAGCCCTGGATGAAAAGCTTCAGACCTGGGCTCCGGTTATGCCTGTTCTCATGACATTGGGTCAGGCCCAGCTGTTGGAGCTAGGCCCTTCAGGTGTGCAGTGGGCAGAATGACTCTTTGCTCCCTCACCTCCAGTGATAATATAAATAAGAAGAATCTCCAAAAGACTGAAATGTTTGTCCAAAATGTCAGCCTCTATCTTATAGCGAATGATCAGTGTGAAAACGAACAGGAGAATCTAGATAGCACCTCTAGGGCTGTGGGATGTACTGCTTTGTGGTGGTCAGCATGGCAGCTGCTCTGCTAGGAACTCATACCAACTCCGATACGTGACTGACCCAGACGTGAAATGACAGCCTTGATTTTATATCAGGAAAACCTAAGCAAAAGGGAATCAAAGGAAAGACCATGGATTCTTAGATTTGTAAAATAGGAACCTGTGAGGAAGAATGGCTCAGTAAATATTACTTGTGTTTATATCAGCAAAACACTCAACTCGGAATGCCATCGTTAGCTGGTTGTAGCCTGTTAACCATTCCTCTTCATAGGACAGATTGGAGCAGACAACTCCTGACTTTGATATGGCCACATGGCAGAGCCGACTGGATACGTATTTCACAACTTTAGATGGACTGTTTCTTCAGGCTTATGGTGCCAGACTCCTCAGATTGCCTATTTGACTCATCATGGGGTTAGTTTAGGGAACATTTTTTATGATAAAATTTATCCCATGATTATTTATTGAGCTCCTAAGTATATGCCCAGCTCTGTTCTAGACAGTGGGGCTACAGCCATGGACATAGACAGAGAGACAAAACAAAGCAAAAACAAAAAAGCTCTTGTTCTGTGGAGATTAGGAGCCCTCATGACTTAGTTGTTTCTGCATTGGACTTCTAAGCAAGGTCAGCAGTTCAAAAACACCAACCACTCCTCTGGAGAAAGATGAGGCTTTCTACAACTGTAAAGAGTTACACGTTTGGAAACACACAGAGCAGTTCTACTCTGTCCTGTAGGGTCCCTGTGAGTTAAGAGTTCAATGGTAGTGGATTTGGTAAGTATGTCTCCTCCTCCCCCATTGTGGGGATTATCACATCAAAATTTATAGGAATGATTTTGTTTTTAAGTGTTAAAAGCAAGCTGAGCCTACCTAAAAATATTGGCAGAATCTAATACGGTGCTGTCCTTTAAAACTCCATTTCTCTATCACAGTCCTCTTGTCGTTTGGAGGTAGAGGCAAGAGCAGAGTTAGACATGAAATGTCTCTGTGAGATGTGGAGGGAAAGGAATACAAATCAGTAGTTGTTGAGCCTAGCTTCCTGAGTTTTCCTGATGATTTGTAAATTGGGATCACCCTGTAGATAAGAGGCAGCCTATGTACAACAAAGATATTGCCAAGGGAGATAGCAGTTACTACATGGGGGAACCAGGGTATACTGACCTTTCTGAGGAAGGAGCCTTCTCATTTCAACATACTAATGAAACTTGGGGCATCCCAAGTTTCCCATCTAGAATAGGAGGGAGTCTGGACACAGGGATTTGGGCCTTAAATGATAGTCTAGGCCTCTGTGTCCAGTAGAGCTTTTTATGGGATGATGGAAATGTTCTACACTGCCTGTTACAGTGGCCACGAGACATTAACACAGACTAAGCTAAACCCTTTGAGAGGCTTGCTTGAAGATCTTATGAATGTCCTCAGATTCAATCAGCCTTCGACTAGGAGGTAAAGAAGTGGGAAGAGGAGAAGGGCATTGTTTTTCTAACACTCATCCAGCATCCTCAGTGCTGTGTCACCTTTATAGTTCCTGGCTTCTAATTAAAAAACAGCTTTTAAAATTTTAATTTTTATTGTTTAAGTCTGCTGCTTCCCCTGTCCTCAATGGAACTGGACCTGAACAGGAAGCAGGGCACATTTAATGATCCTGATGACGCCGGGTTCTTTGTGTTAACAGCTTGTACATTGAGAGTTAGCTTTGTGACTCATTATGGTATTGGAATTTTCCAGGACATGTTTGGCATAAGCAATAGGTAGGTGCCATTTCCGTTGATTTTCACATAGGTGCTCATAAATAATATTAGACGAATTAGAAGATCTCAGTTTTAAGATTTAGATTTTTAGTTAATTTTTTACCACCATTGTTTGTTGCTTAGTCTTGATGTTTGCTTTTGGGTGGCCACCAAAAGAAAGGATGTAAGGAGAGCTCTTTTCCCCTTGATGGTTGTACTGTACTAAGCAGTGCCTTTGTTGCAGATGGATAATGCTCAGGACCTACTTTCCTTTGGGGGTCTCCAAGTGGTGATCAATGGGCTGAACAGCACAGAGCCTCTGGTGAAGGAGTACGCTGCATTCGTGCTGGGAGCGGCCTTTTCCAGGTGAGCAGTGTGGATCGACTTTTCCTCTGCTGGGATGGTTTGGGCCCTGCTGCTGAAATCTAGCATCATTCTTGGCCTGGGATGGAAAGTTAAAGTTCTACAGATCCTTATCGCACTTCAGAATTATCCCAAAGAGACTGGAGTATGACTTTGCCCTCATCCCAAATAGATATAAATCTTTATCTATAGTACCACCATCTGTGACTCTTTGTTCCCCCTGACTTTTTATGTGTGGACATTTAATAACACATTTTTTGATCCCACGCTGTGTTTCATTCAAAGCTAATAAAGATAGGCCAAGCATAGATAGAAGGGAGGGAGGGAATAAACTCTAGGAGTTGATCCTTTTGACAGTGAAGCTACATCTTGTGATGAATAAATGATGAACCTGACCAAGGAAGGCCTATTGGGGAGATTGTGCCTTCCTCTGTTCTTCAGAGCCAATCAACATGCAGCCAGCTTATTGTGCTCTCTGCGTTGAGAGTTGTTTAGAATTTCAATTATTCCGGCTTGTGCTAGAAGACTGATCAGGCAAGAGGAACGGGGAGGCCTCATCTCCACAGAGTGGATACAGAAAGATAGGTGGGCACTACACACATCGTTATACTCCTCCTCGAAAGGCCGGGATGCTTTCATACTGCCCTTGGTCCACTACAGCTGTAATTCCTCCCACTCCTGATCTCTGCTGTCTGCACCATCTGTCCCTCTGAAATGGGAACCAACCTTCTGATCTCTGATGCAGTGACATGGGTATGATGGCTAGTTAGGAGTTGCCTGGCTTGACTGCAGGGACTGTGATATACTCTAGGAGAAAAGGGTATTCTGAACATTGGAGGCTTTGTTTTGAAAAGATTTTCTTTTCCATTCATTCATGGTCATCTTTATTTATTCAGAACCTCAGTCTGACACCCTCTCCTTCTGAAAGGCCCCAGCATCTTATCCTAGTAAACTGGGGGGACAGAGTTGCGAAGCCGAGAAGTGGTGTTCTGTGAGGCGAGGCTGGGAGCACTGCAGGCCTTTCTCCTTCTAGTTTCCCTTAGCAGTACTCTGCCTAGATCTTCCAGCTCCCCTGCCGTTGTGTTGTTGACGGGCAAAGCTGAGGCCTCCAGGGAGACATCACCTCACCTGGTCCCACCCCTCAGTACCGGAGACTCTCCTGGGCAGTCCTCCCCTGGAAAAGGAGAGCTTTTGTGAGTGTGTCATTGGTCATTCTGGTTTCAGCCATTGGTATTACCCTCATGAGGCTCAACTTTTGCTTTCAAGCCACAAAAGAATTGAGTCAAACATAATTATTCTCACTTCAGACCTTCTTGGAAATCTTTCTGGTGAGCTCAAGTACCTTCTTTCCACCTTCAGTCTGAACAAATTATCCTACATGTCTCTTGCCATTGCTGCTAAAAATACATTTCTTGGGGAAAATTAGCATCTTGCTGTCACATCCTAGTTAAGGTGGGCTAAGTAACTTGAAAGGCATGCATTGGGCCTGTCTAGCAAACCGTAACTTAGCCAGAGGCTGTGCCAGTATGTGGCATTATTAAGACTTTTCTGTGATTGTATTAGCGTAAGACCGTGTTAACATTTATTCCTCATCACTAAAAATTTAAATAGAGATAAATAGAAAACACGCAATTTAGTGTTTGGGTGGCAAGCGAACTGCTGTATTCAAAATGCTCTAGCTGGGCTTTTGATGGCTCACTAGAGAGCCGTTACACTGACAGCATGGTATGGCGCCAGAGCTTTTGGAAGCCAACAGCAGGCTCCTGAACATCATGAAAATGTCACTGTTTTATGCAAAGAGGAGCTTGATGCAAGGTAAGAATGTTTCTACTCAGGCAAGTTTCAGTGTGCTAATCTGATATGCATTATTTACTCTGGATACTGCCCCTGCATCTCCCTGTGATCATACATGTGCTCATATATGGGTGCTCACGCGTGGACATGCATACAACAGTGACTGAATGAGCTGGCCAGCTGTGGAGAGGGCATTCAAGGGAGAGTCAGCACCTTGGAATTGTGGAATTCCAGGGCAGAGGGGGTTATCCAGAAGTGGTTCCTTGGAGCTCTCTGTTGATGGGCGAGACTACTGCCCCATTCATCCAGGTGTTTATTTGGGAGAACCACTGCATTTAGAGTCAGAAAATCTGAGTGTACGTTCAGTTTTCACCATTTGCTAGCTGTGTGCCCATGGTCAAGTGATTTTACCTTTCTAGACCTCAACTGGAGAAGCCAGGTAGTGCAATGGTGAAAGTACTTTTGGCTGCCAACCCAAAGATTGGCTATTCAAATCCACCATTTGCTCCACTGGAAAAAGATGTGGTAGTCTGCTTCCGTAAAAGTGTTATAGGCTTGGAAACCGTATGGGCAGCTCCGCTCTCCTGTAGGGTTGCTATGAGTTGAAATCAATTGTGGCGGAGGGTTTGGTTTTGTTATTGTTATTGTTGGCAGTGATGGTGGTGGTGGTAAGCCTCAGCTCTTGGATTTGTTAATGGAGGAAAATAATAGATCGATGTCCTGTGCATGTCACCCTAAGGCTGAATGAAAATACAATAAAAGGGAAACAGCCAAACCAGTGGCTGTTGAATTGATACCAACTCCTGGTGACTGATGTGTGTTACAGAGTAGACATGTGCCCCAGAGAGAGTTTTTATAGCTGTGACCCTTTGGATCACTCGGCCTTTCTTCCGCAGAGTCTCTGGGTGGCTTTGAACTGCCAGCCTTAACAGTAAATCTGGTGAAACTGATCATAAAGCATCTGTGAATTTGAAGGTGGTATATAAACAACATCATCATCATATACAGCAGCATATAACATCACAGCACCTGATTGTGCTGTGCCCTTTTAAATGAGTTTTCACTGTAAGGAAATTCTCTCAGGTTGAACCTCAATCTTTTTCTTACATTACAGACCTGTATCCTCATTTTCTCAAGTGCTTGTGTTCTACCACATGTCTCCTGTGCTAATCTAGCCTCTTCATGTAGGTGTTTATCTGCCTGTTTGGGTTAATTGCCTAATAAAGCCTCCGTGCATCTCTATGGATGAAGGTGTCACATCCCTGGTGTTAAACACAAAGCAATTATTTCCACATCAAGAAGAGATTGTTGGCGTAAATGTAAGTGACATGGCCACTGAATGTTACATGACCACTGAAGTGAAGTTTGTTCACTGCTCTATTTGAATATCATTCATCCTTCTTTATGGGTCTCATGCACGCATTCTCTGCTCTTCGTTGCCCATGCTCCCTCAAAAAGAGATTTGGGGGTGGGAGGAGGGAGGTTGATGCTTCGAGCAGCTTCATCTTCTCTTGGTGGCACTCCTTCCCCTTCCTCCTTCCCCCCACCCCCGCCTCCTAAAAAAACTCAACACAGAACAACTTTTCTGTGACCTGATTTCTTCTTACAAAAGCATTTGTGTGTGTCTGTCTGCAGTCTGACCTACCAGGAGTCTCTGGAGTCCCAGACAAATCATTTGCGTTTCTTTATAATGGAATTTTCAGCAAGGCCATGTGAATTTCAGAGCCCATGCAGCCTTCTGTAATCTTTTTTTTTTTTTTTTAGCTCTCAGCAAACTGGCTGCTTGCTTTGGATTTCTTCTTGTCACCCTGTGCCTAGCCTTTACTTTTTAATTGCCAGAAGTTAAACTATAAAGACTGGTGTATGTACCTACCTCTAGGACACTGGCTTTTGCTGTCCTCTGCCTCAATCACTTTCGGTCTCCTACATCCATCTTTAACAACGCGTATTCTCTGAGCATGTATGATTTGGCAATTGCATGGGCTTGCAAATGTTCCCTCTACACTGTCTTTCTGTGTGAACTACTCCACATTTTTCAGAGTGTGGAACTGAGCCCCATATAGCAAGGGCTGTACTCATGCCATTTGTTAAGGTGAGGTTATTTTCTGTGCAATGGGTCCCCAGAAGATTATTTTGTTCTAAGTTTTTTCTCCTGCCCGCTCTCCCTCCATCTTCAAGGCAGATTTTTGGGTTGCACATATCCTTTCCTAAAATGTATGGTCTACCCTGTGAAACCTGCCCCGGGCTTTGTTGGCTCTGTGGTGTATTCAGTTGTATTCTCCCCACTTAGGTTTTTCCACTTCATTTAAAAGTAGTTTTGTCAGGGTCATAGCTGCATCTCATCTGTATCTCCTCTTGAAACCTAGTGGCTTTCTTGAGATTTCTGAAATACAACATTCTTTTTTTGTTGTTAACATTTTATTAGGAGCTTTTACATATATTATTACAATCCATAGTTCCATTAGATCAAGCATAGTTGTACAGTTGCTGCCACCATCATTTTCAATACATTTTCTTTCTTCTTGAACCCCTTGATATCAGCTCCCCTTTATCCCTTCCCTCCCTCCCCTACCATCCCCCTGAAACCTTGATATATTATTATTATTGTTATTGGAGTGTTGTTTTTTTTGCCATAACTTACATTATCCAATGTATCCATTTACCTAAAATTCTGATGTTTGTTCCCCTCAAGTGGGATTATACAGTCATCATTGCTATCAGTTCCCCTCCCCCCACCCCTCTTCCTGTACCCTCAGGGAATCATTACTACCATTACTGTTTCTGAGGGGTGTATCTATCTTGGATTTTGTGCATCGTAAGACCTTAATTGTACCAATGTACAGGTCTAGCAAGATTCGTGAGGTAAAACTAAGCCCATAATAGTGGAAGGAGGACATTTTAAAGAACTAGAGGACAGTTATGTATTTCATCAGTGCTCAACTATGCCCTGGATATATTGTCCCTTCCGTGTGTCCCTTCTGTGAGGGACTGTCCCATTATCCTACAGTGGACTTTGGGTCTCCACTTTGCCTATGCTTTTTCATGTCAATTTGATTACTTGTTTTTGAACTTCTGATACCTCTTCCCATCGACACCTCATGATCACATAGGCTGGTGTGCTTCTTCCATGTGGGCTTTGTTAGTTCCCTGCTAGATAGCCGCTTGTTAAACTTAAAGCCTTTGAGACCCCAGATGCTATGTTTTTAATA